CAATGCTTTTCTTTTTTCTCGCTGTATTTAATGGCTGCATAAAAACCCCCTTACTTTCTGAATTCAGTATCTCTCTGTTTGACAGCTGAGCACTGAGACCATAAGTTATGATTTGAGATGATGTTGTGGGTGTGGGATAAAGAGGGTGTCACTGAACTTTCAAAACTAAGCTCCATCCCACTCCTCCAGTAGAGGCGGCTGTGTGCTGCTTCAGTCCCAAACCATCGTGCTTATGAAGTGCATGTTATCAAAATACTTAAAGTGTGTGCACAGGCCATGTAGCAGCCTCAGGATGGGAAAGGATTAGGAAAGGACTGCACCACACAGCTCTAGGAGACCTGGAGTAATACAAAGGAAATGCCTGTAGAATACTGAAAGGATAAATCTGAGAAATAGTCTGTGAGGTAGGGAATTTAATAAGGACAATAAAGGAGACTTGGTCAGAGCTTTGTTCGCCTCCAAACACATCTATTTAATTGTGTTTTACTTTTTGAGTTGCTTTTAATCTGATTCCCAAGTGATACTGCTGCTGGTTTTATTTCAAACCACTGACCATCTTGCCTGTAATCCATTTACAAGTGATGCCACTACCTGGGGGTTGTCACCTAACATGTCATTCCTCATGGCAGCATTAGGCTTCAGACACACCATCATGACAAATCAGTCAAACAGGAAGATTCAAAAAGAAAATTCCGTATCTTGACATGTAAGGCAGGGAGTTAGAAAGGACCAGGAGATCTGCTGGTCGCAGGAGATTCAGCTGGAGAAAGCTGAGACCCATCTGTAATTCCAAAATGGAGGGATTTCTCTTGTTTGTCACAGTTTAAGCAGTTTATGTGACATATGCATGATACATATACGAGCTGACTAAAGGTCAAACTCTGCTTTTGGCTACATTTGCCCATTGGATATTGACAGTTCTTGGACCTACACTCCTGTAATCTAAAAGGAGGATTTGGCCAAAGAATTAATCAGGTAAGCTATTCCCCACAGAATAGTCACAAGCAAATACTGAGATGTACTGAGTTTTGTCACAGATGGAAAAAGGCCTTACAAACTCTTGAGGATCATCTACTGCAGGAGACAGAAGAGCCCTGGGAGAACTGTGCTTTTTTAATGCCTGAAATATGTGCATCTCATACAAGCAGTCATCAGCACAAAGCTTTCTGGCTGAAGCTGCTGTAGTGTATGAACTCATTAAGTAGGCTAATATTTTAGCTATTGTTAAGATTGATTTCAGGTACCATGATCATCCCTTTTTCTCCTTTAATAAACACAGCCTCTCTATGCTGCATGAAGACAGAACAGCAAAGCAGGTCTTTCTGCGGAAGTTTAATGACATGAAATCTCAGCTTCAGTCAATTTGATGAGGATAGAATGTGAAACTGCCTCCCGGGTGCAAGACAATTATGCAGATGAGAAAACCTTTGCAGGAAAATTTGCAAGAGTCAGGAAAACACCGTGAATCTCTCTATCTATAGAGAAGGGTCCATTTCAGTCTTCCATTACCAATTCCATTAAATACTCAGATGGGTGCATTAGTTTGTGCCTCTCTAATAAGAACAAAGTAATTTGATTTGTAATATTTTTTCACGTAGTATCTTTTTCCATGGATTTAAAGGACATTACTGCAGTGCATTCTCCCAGAGTAAAGATAAGCATTCTGCTTTCACGGAATTCAGATTTTTAGATGCCCAACTCAAAGGACTTCAGAGTCTCAAAAGTGCTGGGAATTTGCATTTTCAGATGCAATTAATAGGATCTATCGGTGTGTAGCGCCTGTAGAAACTGGGCCTAGGACGTCTCAGAATGCCTACTCAAAATAGGAGCCCTCCTGCAGCATGAATGCTTCAGTGAGTCATCCCAGATCAAAGAGCAAGTTAGAAAGTGATGCAAGGCAGAAACCAGATCTTCTGACTCCTGGTGTCTGGTTCAAGCGATGAGATTATACCGCTCCACGGAAAGCCGGCCGCCAGAGGAGTGACCTATTTTACCAACGGAGGTCACTTCCATTAGCTCAGTAGTTATTGTTCTGTTGTTTTAATTAGTGCCATTTCAAATAAGTGGCCAGCTCTGTGGAAAGGTCAGTACCTTTCTAAACTCTTCCTCTGTAAAAATTACGTTGCTAGGGAAACGATACCAGAAAAGTAATCAATTCTTGTTAGACCTCCAGATACGACATGCAGTTGCTTAGCTGCTGGCCAGGCACATCTCAGCTGAGAATATGACTCACTCCATCAGTGTAACTCAGAGCAAACATTGTTCAGCCCTGGCCTAGCCACATATGACAAGTACAAACATGTTTTGAAACAATACCAGCTGTTAAAGACATTAATTCTGAAGGGGAAAAAAGGGCAATAAATCCTGTTCAAGAAGAATTGGGATTCTCTCTATGATACATATGTAGGTACACCAGATGATCCCCATAAACATGAACAGGCTTACATGGTTAACTCCTCTGTCACGCCGAAAATACAGCTGCTTATAAAATCTTGAAATTCATGTTGATGTGCCATCCAGCTAGCAAGACAGCTTCAGTATTTCTCCTGTAAAATGTAGTCCTTATTAAAAGGCCCGTCATATAAACTTGTCCATATCTTTACTGACAAAATAAAGCTTTGAAAATGGAATATAGTTGTTATCATATTCAGTCTGAATTTAGTGGCAAAGCTTGGATCATTAGTGGTCAACATTGCCATATTATACTTCATATACAGATGTAGCTGTTTAATGCATATGGCTGGAAAACCATGCATATTACTATGTTACTGTACATGACAAAGTAGTAATAAATTTTGTTTATTACTCATATATTGAACTCAAATGAAATAGTTAGCCAAATCAAAAGACTCAGAGCAACTGTAGAATTCCTGATGGGATTTATAGAAGTAACTGAATAATGGAGGAGTATAAATCCTATTACCTTCAGTAGCATGTGCTGTATGTGGATATGTGTACAACTTCTAAACACTACAGTCTATCAACATAACAAAAACATTTGGAAGTATTATCAGTATGCAGACATTTAAATCTAAAGATGTTTAAGCGGGTTATAAATCCATCTTGTGGTAGAGACTTTTTGTTTTCTGCAAATGCAAGCTTACTGCAGCAGTGCCTAAATGCATTAAGACAGAACATGAAAGGCACTTACAAATCAATGCACTTACATGTGTGGCATTTTAAACATTTAAATACTCCTATTTACTTTAAAATACTATGTTTACACTTAAAATTAAGCCTAATTTAATAATTTTGCTGGATTAAAGTCTAAAATCAGTGACATTTTTGCATTTGCATGAATTAGTGAAGGAGAATAATCTATTCACTTGAATTTACAAAGGGTTTTTAAGTTCTTAGCTGTATAATCTTACCCTAAAAACTGTGCCTCTTGCAACAGAGAAATCCTTATATTCCTGCTGGAATACTAGTATGGTACTGATTCAGGATAAAAAATAGTATCTTAAGCTCAGCTGAAAGGAATGTTTATGGTCCTTTCAATAAGCTTTGGATCAAGTGATTAGTGAGGCATCAATACCACCACTATAATTCTAGCTTGTTTTTTTTCTTCATCAGTATGTCTGATCCAGCTTGTAACCCAGCCCAGACCTGTTTAGTTTAGGGCATATGGCAAGGTCAGAAATCACATTAAAAGGATATGTACCAAATGAAAATAGTTTTCACAAAAAAAAAAACCCGCTAATGCGATGTAGAATTGACAGGGTGCAATCAGGCAGGGAGCCAACAAAAACTGCTTACATTTTAATTTTATGATATAGAGGACTCGGGCAGACAGGATTATGTGATTTCTCATCAGATGGCAGGCAGAATTGCTTATGGTGATCTGCCATGAAGAGAAATGTGCTTGCTAAAAAACTAATCTTTAGGTTTCAGTGCTGAATATCTTTCTGATAGAAAAAGATGCTCCCAGCTGATGGATAAAATGTTGGCCTTACACAGAGGATATGATCTAAAATATTTACTAGCCCTATAATATCTATCCTGCCACAGTTACCACATCTCATACTGAATATTTTAGCTGTTTAAATAAAGGGAATATTGACAATTCAAAACCAAGTCTCTCAAAAATACTCCACCAACTAGCTGACATCTATCAAATTTTGGATCCATGTTTAAATGAACCTTTAAAAAAAGCTGATAAAGGGAAAGAAAATTCTACACCATGTCCATAATATCACTGAAGAAAAATGGCAGATTGTTTGATGATCTGTATTTGTGAATATCTATTAAATGTTGTGTCAAAAGGACTTTTTTTTTCCCACATAAGCATACAATGTTTATATCTGAAGCATCCGTCTCGATGAAAAGGTGCTTTTACTTTCAAATTAGATGAGTTCAGCCCTGAAATTTGCATAGAAAAACATTTTATAGACTTCTAGAGCTGTACACATGGCCACAGCTGCCTTCTGGGTTTTCAGGTAAATGCTTGACTTCAGGAACTTGGTTTGATCAGTTCAATTTACATATTTATTTCATCTAAACATAATTTAAAACCTTGTATTACATTTCTTTTCTAATGAAACCATATAAAATCCAGACAGATAAGCAGTTTGGGATAATATTTTCCCACCAAGATGAGGCACATATTTCATAGTCTTGTATACTTTGTGAAGTTAATTAAATTAGAATAAATTGCTTCAGATACTGTTATCCATATTTTGTGACTTACGTGACTTATTTAAGTAGAATATATATACACACATTTACTGCCTTTATGAATATTGGCTCTATTTGGTACACCTATTGTCATGATTTAGTTGTTAATTTTTTTAATAAGATTGATCAACGTTCCCTACAGCTATTAGTTTGTTCTTTTAGTGTTGGCTCTGCATTATTAATTCTTCAGAGGTGAGGATGAAGATTGGTTTTTTTAGATTTCTACTTACCATTCAAACTGGTATTGCGGAGAATATAGTATAGATTCTGCATCGTATCTGTTGAAGAATAACTGGGGTTTGGTTTTGTTTTGCCTTGATTTCTAGAAAACTTAGATACAATGATAGCTGAGCAGACAAAGAAGAAGCTTGAGAACCCTTCCACTAAAACCAGAACAAAGCTACCAGCAGGTACTTATTCTACAATTTTCTCTCCTGGAATAACACATGGTTTTTTAACCTTTTCAGGTAAAAGCATGCTAATTGCTTTAGAAGCTAGACTGCTAGTTAAAGATACAGTCCCTCAGGGACCTGTAACTACAGCTTGGATGTCTAAACACACAACAAGAGAGGAATTTTTACTTAGTTGTCCAATCTTTGAGAAGTATATTCACTGTCCTTTTCTTCAGTGGAGTCCAGACATTGCACATACACAAAAGCAAGCTGTATCAATGCTTTTTAAGTTGTAAATAATAATAAAAAAATCATTCTTTATCAACTTTGGATCTAGTGAATGCAAATTTCCCATCATTTTTCCCTGCAGAAAGGAATGTGCCTTTATGAACTACATATTATTGCATTTTAGTCACCTGTATTCAGCTACGGTTTGTAAGAGCAGAAACAGGCATTCCTGTTGCCAGAGGCTTGGGGTGGAGATGACATTTAGAAACCACTTTGAGCCAGACTCCGAGGAGTTTCTTCCTCAATCATCAGTCAAAATGTTTTACTTCCTAAAGATCATATTGATGTGATTTAGAAGTGCTTTTGGTACATTTAATACAGAATTGCTCTTATTGTTGTTTCTTTAGACAAGAGTAGTGAAGAAGCAGACAGTACGAAGGAAGAAGCAGCTAAAATGGAAAAGGAATACGAAATTTCAAAGGATTCTACGAAAAATGAAGAGCAAAATGCAGCAGGAAACAGTGAAGAGCCCAGAGGTACAAAATATCCATTGCTTTTGCCACATATGTATGCTCCAAGTGATTGGAATCTTTTCCTATTGTTTTTCCATTGTGTGAGCGTACATATCTTCAGTTTGTAGTTACTGGGAGTCAGCACACAACGGCTTGATTTGGAAGTGTACTTGCTTGCTTACTTTTAAATGTATGAAACTGTATCTCTTACTGAGCAAGGCCATAATCTTTCACAGAATTCAAAGCCCCTTTTGAGAGCAATATGAAATGCATTTTGACACAGTAGTGCAGAGAGATTTTGCTTCTTTGCATCTATGGCTTTTCAGTGAAATCAGATCGTCAGGATATTCAATATTCTGAGTGAGCCCATTGATTTCTCTAGTTTGTGTTAGAACAAGCTGGTACAGAAAGGTACTGAAAAGTTGTGCAAAGTGAAGCAATTTGTATTACTCACTGCCAGAGGTTAAGGGTCATCAGCAATTAACCTGTTTTATGTAACTTTGAAAACCTATTACAGTAGGTTAGTGTCTCCATAAGCAAACTTAGCACAGTAGTACTTCCATTATCCTAGTTGCCTCAGCGTGACACATAATGCCACGTGCCATGCTACATTAGACTGTACTAGCTGAAGTCGCTCTGTCCATGGGGTACAAATCAGCTGCTATATCTCAAAACAAATCTGCAGAGGACAGTGTGCCTCTTTACAGTGCTGAACTTTTGAAGGAGGATGTTTGTTGGTGCAGAAACCTTTCAGTGGGTTCTTATTGCTAAGGATCCAGCATAAGCATCTATGTTTTGTAGTCGGTTAAAAAACCTGCTTATAATCTACTTTGCACTGATGCTGTTTTATGCTCATACTTTTTTGGATGCATGTGTTTTCACTGCAGCATGCTCAGTAATGAATTGCAATAATCAAGGCTACAGCAGATTGTAGTTCATTGGTCACCTGGTTCAGTCCTGTGGGCAGTGCAGACATATAAACTATTAGGCACTCACAGATAGAAGGTGGCATTTTTCCAGAAGTGCTTATTTGCGCATAGAAGAGGAAAATAGCTCAAGATGGCTGCCTAATTTCACAGTGAAGGAAAATCATCTCAATACCTGTGGGAAGTGATAAATAACATATTTTGCTTGTCTATTGAAGATTCGTCTGTTCCGTTTGGTTCAGGTTATTTTCCTTTACCTTCAGAAAAATGTTCAGCCCAATAGCTCTTTAGAAATTTAAATTGGATCAGCATTTAGTTCTTTGTCTCATCATGCAATGCCCTTTGCTCTTTCACAGAGTGACTTACTCTAAAGCTAGCTCTACACTGCCAGCTCAAAAATTATGGTATATCTAATACTGTATCCACTTACTAATGGGATCAGACAGGCATAGTTGGCAGTAGTAGCCTTCTACATGCTAATCACACCAGGGTTTTTTTCCTGACAAATGTAAGAACATTACATCAATAAAGCTCCAGCCAAGTTAAGAATTCAAAATCCATTAGCTGGAATATTTCCTTAGGGGCCTTATTAGGTAATCCTTGAACTAATTCTGTCCTGTGTGCTTTCTGGTCCAAAAATAGCCATCACTTTACAATTTCAGCTATAACAAGGATTTATCATGGTAATTTTAATACATCCTTTTTCTTAGTAAATATAAGTAGCTGTATTTCAACTTGTCTTTCCAGAACATCCCAGTCTTAGATTTGCTGTATGCTGTTAGTACTACTGTATGGAGGAGTTTTCTGACACTTTGTATATGAGCAGATACTCAAAGCTCTCAGTCTTATTTAAGTCATTCCTTGCTGTCTTAACAGCTTCACCTTTGCTGAACAATTATGATGATCAAAAATCTACAGCTTGCCTTTAATCCACATATGCAGTATCTATGGATACCACCAAAGTTATGTATAGAGGTCAAAAAAGCCATGATCCTAAGTTTCTGGATGACAAATCTTGCACAGACAAAACCTGCTAGCCATCTGTGAGAATTTTGCCTGACTAAAGTTGACAGCACTCAGCTTTTAAACAGAAACTAAGAATAGTTTTAATCTGCCTTTGCTGTGACCAACTTCACCCAGTTAAGCAAGCTGCATCAATCATTGATGTAAGTCCCTTATTTCTCTCTCATCCTGTCCTCTAGGGAAAGCTGAGGCATATTTGGAAGCCATCAGGAAGAACATAGAATGGCTAAAAAAACACAACAAACAAGGTAACAAAGAAGGTATGAAGTAAAAAGCCTTGACATTGGGGTGGGCACCATATACATTACAAAGCAAGTAATTTAAATTGTGTTGTATAACTTAGCATTATGTTATAAATTAAATAATAGTAACGTGAAACTGTGCTTAAGATTACAGTTATAATTAGTGGTGTTAGTGTTAAATGATACAGGTTATGTAAAAGTTAAATCAATGAATGAAAATAGTAAACTAAGGCAAATTCATGTAAACTGGCCTGAACAGCCATTGGCTGCAAAACACACAGTGACTAACCAGGTAGAAGTTAGTCATGTGCTATCCAGATAGTCATGGTGGTCTGCCTGTCACCAGGTAACAGTACATCGGTTTTGTCTGGTGCTTCATTTCTTAGTTCAACATATCTTTTAATTTTGATTCTGTATGTGAGGTAAATGTGTTTTAAATGTCTGGATGTGTCTAGAAAAGCTCAGTGCATCTGGCTAGCACTGCGGATGCCAGCACAAACAGCAATGAGTTTTGTTTCATAGCCATAAATAGTTAAGGTACAAACGTATGTCACTAGCAGTGTAATATATTGGATTATAGCCCAAATCAACTCTAATGACTTGTAGCTCTCACACGCAAAGCTGTGTAGAAGGGGGACAGAGACTGAAGCAGCTGCACAGGGTAGGTCACCAGCTGCCCCACCATTTGACTCTTCCTCGGAGGCAGGGCTGTACGAGAGCTGGAGGGAGGGAGCTAACAGCAGCAGGATTTCTAGCTTATTTTTCACAGATCTTTATTTATCCATATCAATTTTGCCCTCGAGCTCTTTCATAAAACCAGCCTCCTATCCCTTCTCTCTGTCATTGCTGGGTCTTCTGCCATCACCCACTCTGTAAGTGAAGGTTCCTAGCCAAGAGATCTATCCCTGGGGTATGACTGGCGCCTGGTGAGAAGGATCCTTCTTGTACCAGCCGAGCAGAGGGGAGATCTGAGATGAGATTAGCCTTGGGTAATCTAGCCACCCTCTCTGTGAGCTGAAGTGCATATGAATTACATTTCAGAGATGAGTGCATGCCTACAGCCCAACACATCCCTTTTCCTATACAGAAACTCCATAATAGGAAGGGCTTTTAAAAAAAATTTTCCATCTCTCAAATCATTTCCACACAATGGCAGTGATGGCAATTAGCAGCAGGCATACATATTTGCTCAAGAGTTTTCCTGCCAATTCTAATAAATGTTTCTGTTTGTCAGTGTACTCATTATAGTAATTAGATCTCAGTCATGTGCAATTATTTCTCTGTGTCACACATACTAACTGGGCAGCCCCTCACTCCTTTTCATAGTAACCTTTCCCCTGCACTGCTGCAGTCTGAAAATGGCTGTGACTGCAGATCAATAGCATTTTATCTGCCGTGAATGCATCAGGTTGTACACTTTCTGCGTAGGTGGATTTTCATTCGCCCTAAAACATCTTTATTGTCCTCTGACAATGGAAATGGGCCTTGAAGCGAGTGTAAGTTACGACAAAATTAGAATAGTGTTCTTACTCTTCTGACACATTACCTTTATTGTGCCTTTCCATGCTTTTTATTTTTGTAAAATGCTAATTCAGTTCTCCTGGGTTGATGTTAAAGGAAGTGCAGTCGGGGTAAGTTTATCTAACCATGAATGCATTGTGCTGCGTTTCTTCGGTACAAGATCAGGTGGTACTGATGTGCTCATCAATCATTTCTCCACTCCCAGCTAGCACCTGGGAGCTAGCAGAAAAGTGATTCACAAAGTAATTTGTGTATTAAAATGGCCAGTCTTTTCCACCCCTACTCATGGATTGTTTTACTCACTGAATATACTTGAAGAGGTTTAGGTTTTCTTCAGGCAAATGTTTGTAGATGCTTAACTTTGTATGAATTTCAATAGAAGTTATTATTCATTCAATAGCTAATGATCCTGGAAATGTTCCCAGTTTAAAAATATCAATTGCCTCTTAAGGAGGCAAGTAAACTTGAGTGGGCTGGATGATTTAAAGAGAAACGTGTCAAAAGCCCAGATTTTGGCCTGACTGGCTTTTCTGTCCAAAGTTTGTTTTGCATATATACAATCTATAGGCTCTGTGGGCCTGTCCTTAGTATCTCCCAGACCTGGCTTGATATTTGAAACCAATGCTCTTTAAGACCAGCTCCTCTCCTGTGTAAATTAACATCGCTCCCACTGGTAATTGGCTGCTGGGTATTCTATTGTATTTAGTCTCCAAAGAACATAACTGTGACTCCTTTAACTAATACATGCAAATAGCATGTTCTGATTTTTCACAAAATACCTAGGTAGCTTATAGTTTCATAACAATAACAGTAGCCATGTAGGAATGAAAGTAAATTCTATAATGAATTGCAGTGGCAAATGGCTTGATTTGAATATGCAGATAAGACCTCACTTCATTTACTGTAGCAGTTTCATAGCTCAATGTAATGCTGCAGCTGTTGTGGTGAATATAAACCAAAGCTGATTTTTATAATTACTCGTCCAAATTAATAGCTTGTAAATAAGTATTAGAAATTAACAGTTATCAATTTCTATTTAAAAAATCAAATTAAATTGCCATGAGATATACAAATTAGCCAGAATTGGATAATATCTAAATGGTTGTAATCTCATACAGAATGTTTAGTAATTAAACCTTCACATCTCCACGTAATGATCTTAGAGTTGTAAGCACTATTCTAGAAGAAAAATAAGCTCAGGAATTTTAATGTGAATAATGTGGATGCTATATTAATTTAGTATTTGTTCTTCCATTCATTTCCATTCCATGGTATATTTCACTGGAGACTCTCATTCTGTCAACATGAATGAAATCTCACAACCTTATTATTAAATTGCTAGGTACTATTTGTGCCTATTACTCAGATAGGGTGGAAAGACAAACAGGTTACATTGTCTTAAGTAATGCCGGTAACGGACCAGATGTGAAATCTTGGCCTCAGTACAGCAAATGGCAAAATTCCTATTAACTCAGATATGGAGAGGACACCTCTGCAGGATTGTGGAGTTCTGAATATCAATTTTCTGTATTACTCATTTGAAATTGCCTTATACTGTTATAAAAATGATCGCAAGCATTAATTTGCTTCTTAATGTCTTTCTATTTCTATCCAATTTTGGTCACTCAACCATAATAAGACAGAAAGTCATTATCGTCTGTTTTGTTAAGAATGTAATTTGAAAGAAGGTCCTTCCACTTATTGCTGTATGATGATATACATTGGACTACATTACAAAATCAGTATTAATGTATTCTGAAGGTTCTGTCTGTGGAATAAGTAATTTATACTGAAAAATTCAGGATGTATGTTCTTGTGAAAGATACTAATTCATTTAACTTAGTATGAACCCTTAAGACATTGATGTTTTCCAGACTACTAACATGTCATCTAACAAGTTAAGCTTTACATTCTATGCAGTAAATTATGTAACTGAAACTTGCATTGTGTTTACGTGTGAATATACTGGATCTGTTGCCAGAGTTCCGACGACACAATAGGTTACCTTTTTATGTTGCTTGAAAGATTGCTGTGCAGTAGAATTCTTTTCATGGAAAATAGTGATGTTTTCCAGCATAGGAGAAGTCTGTTTAATGCATATGGTGTGAATCATGCTGCATAGATGCCACCATGTATCAGAAAATGAGAAAGGGTCTTTCAGCACCGTATTGCAGATTGACATACAAAGATTGTCAAAGACTCCTTTGACACTAACACTGTCATAAAGACTAGCCACTGCAGTATTTTTCATGTCAGGATATTATGTTCTGTATCAAGGTAAATAATTGCTTAATTATTTTGATTATTTCCAGGAAGTTGCTTTCTTGAATTTTCACTACAGGTGTTTGTAGTAAGTGGAAAGTTTACTGGGATTTCAATAGGAAAGAGTGAATTTAATACTTTCTTTTGAATCCATTACAGTTGTGAAAATAATAGGGTTTTAACAACAGCTTTTGCCATGCAGACTAGAACATCAAATCTCTGGACCAGAAAATATTCTTACTTAAGCATTTGTTAGCAGTCAATCAAGAGCAAGAGATGATTATTCTTCTTGAATACTAAAAGCACCATGATACATGAAAAGACTTTGTGCAGGTGTTGGTTTTTTTAAATTGTTTTCACAAGCTGCACTTTTAGTGAATTCATGTTGGATAAACTGCATTTGTTGGATAAACTTTGCAATGACATTGTTTCTTAGGTGAAGCAGTATAATGGCAATGACTCATTGTGCAAATTCTTATTTTTCAGACTATGATCTTTCAAAGCTGAGAGATTTCATTGATCAGCAAGCTGATGCTTATGTGGACAAGGGCATCCTGGACAAGGAAGAGGCTGACGTAATTAAACGCATATATGGCAGCCTGTAAAAAGCTAGTGGCTGCCAAAAATGTAGAAAACTAGTATAGCTTCCCCCACTCCCGGCTCAGTGACTTATGATCTGTTAATTTGAGGATATCATTAGAAATGCTCTGTTTACATTGTACTGACAACTTTCTAGACAGAAATGAAGAGCTCTAGTGCTCCATACACTGACTGCATACTGTATTTTCCTACACTCACAAATCAATCCTAAACGCCAAATTCTGACACTGAATTTGTATTTGATAAGATAAATATTTATGTAATGTTCTCTTTGATTTATTATTTGTGTTTGGTACTTTTGTAGAAAAACCAATCATTTCTGATGGAAAGTTCTTTTAATGCTACATCTTTTTGCTCTCACTCCACTAGCTTTCTATAGATGCAACTATGTAAAGGGCATTATTAGAAAATAGTTCACAGTTCTCTAAATAAAATATTTGAAAATAAGTTACCTATTAAAGTTTTCATTAATCTTAATATGATTTTATATCCAGAAATCTTGTTTTTAAATCCTAATACCTTTTTTTTCTTGACCCTTTTTTATTTCTTCATGTAGTATTCTATAACTGGGACTATAGTGTCCTTAGCTAACTGATAAAGCTTTGACACTGCAACTGCCTTTCATATTACAGAGCTGTATTCTCCTCATTGTTGCTTCATTCAGCATGTATAAACATTCTCTTCGGTGCACTACTTGATGATTGTGCATGCATAAGTAGTTGAATTCCTGATGTGAGTAGCCTGATAACAAGTGTAAATAGCCATTACTTTCTTTAAAGAAAAAAAAAAAAGGAAAGCAATTCAAGTCATTTTGCATGGGAAGGGGAGTTTGCAGCTAGAGATGTTTTTGGGAACATGGGTCCTGCTTTTCAGAAAGACTTAAAGAACCTATCATATCTCAGCATCTCTGAATATCAAGGCTGTGGTGTGTTTACTGACTTCTGATCTGTGTTGAGCAGTATTATTTTGGAAAAATATTTTCTAGGCATATATACGCTCTCATTCACCAAGAATTTGGTACCTCCTAAAGAATGAAAAAGGAAAACAAAAATGTCACCCTCATTCTTCTTCCTCAACTCAGAGAGTTTTTGAAGAATGGTTTATGAGATCTTTTATATTTAAGTGAATGGATAATTTTATGTATGAAGAACTCATGAAGCAAGATCAAAGCTAAAGTTTTTAGAAAACTAAATTTTAAACTGAGTCCCAGAAGACGTAAGTCCTTAGACTTATCCCTTGCAGCAGTCATTTGTCTAAATGAACTCCAGGAAAGCCCTGTTCTCTTTATTTACAAGTTCTTCATTGATAATTGAGGTTATCCCTGCTCTGATTTTTTTTAAAAAACTCATGATACTTCTGAGATTGATACAGTCAAAAAATGTTAGCTGATGCAGAGGTCAGTATCTGCCTGCCAATGAAGGGAGATGCTGACTGACAGCACTGCCTGCACGGCACAAAATTCTGTAAATGTCAAATGGGCAGATCGTTTCCTTCCTCATTTTCTCAGCACAGTTGGAGAGACGAGATTTAAGCAATGTTTCTTAGCCAACTGAAGTAAGCTGTGGAATCCCTGCAAAACATAAATTACCAGCTGAACATTAGCAGCAGAACATTATTAGTAACAAATATTAAATGAATGTGATAGCAATGAAGTGTAACAGCATATCAATTTGAAAGCTGATGGTACATAAGCCAATGAATGCTTTCTAGCATACAAAAAGTATGTCACTGCCTGCTTATACACCTCCTGATACGGATCATTGAATTGCAGTATCAGTCACTAATGGTGGTATTTATTTTAAGATAAAAATTGTATCCAGAAATGTAGTCAATGTAACCTTCCTGGTTGAAGAATAGTCCCTTAGAAACACTGCGGAAAATAATTAGGGAAAAAGAATTCCTGTTATTTTGAATCAGTGTATTTGTTCTCATCTAAACCCTCTATTATTACTATCATCATCATCATCATCATCATCTAATGTTCCCAAAGAACAGAATTTATTCTTGTCCCTATAGATCTCAGGTTTTTTCTGCAACAGCTTGTGACTTACTTTCTTATGTGACTATCACACTGGAAAAGTGGACTTTTGGATTTATGAAAGAAATCAGAAGAAAGATAACTAACCGTAGACCTTTACAGTTGGGGAAGTGGTAGTGAACTGCACTTAAAAAACAAAAAGGTCAAACTTTCCTTCCCCAATGGCTACGTTTAAAAAAAAAGCAAACTTTCTTCTTCTGTCAATATAATGAGTAGTATAATAATATTTTTATTTTCATTGGAAGTTAGGTTCTTACTTTCACCTTTCAGGAGTCTATGCAGGAGTCTGGTACTAATGGAAAGATGTCATCAGCTAGCGACCTGTGATTATGAACAGTTTGTGTCCACAAAAAGGCTAGTACAATATTTTTTAACCTCTCAGTTTTGCAAATTTTCTAACTTCAACAAAGCATAGGTGACATAATTTAGAAAAAAAAGTCCAGACAATGGGTATGACCTGATTCTAGTTCAGAGTATGCATGTTCTCGGACTTGTTCTGTGCTTACTCTGCTGCTGTGCATCACTTGGGGTACATACATAGACCAATTAGACCAACCTGATGACTGGCTGAGAACAGAGCAAGCTCTCTGACGGATAGATGAGCAATCTCAGCTACATTCTTCAAACGCAATTCACTTCCCATCCTGCCCAAGCCCATAAAACTTGTTATTTGAATGCTTCAAATACTGGTTTCATTGCTGGTACATCAAATGAACGTCTATCGGTAAATCACACCTTTCAGAACTAGACAGTAAAAACAGCCAGCCTGATGAATCACCCTGCCTTTCTAAAAGGCTATGACTTAAAATCAAACCAAGTGACGTGAGTTTCAGCCTGCACTACAGATCAGTCCTTATTTTGAAGGGAACACTTGGAGCACATTAGCACTGGACATCTGCTGCTTGAGTGGTTAGTACATAATTAGTAAATCATATTCTATCAGTGCTTTCCTTTTTCCTGCGAGAAAGGTATTTTCAACACCTGCACATCTCTGGTTCTAAATTGACAAAAATCAGTTTCTATGTTGTTTGTATCTCTGCTGGATCCTTCACTCCCTAAATTATTACTGAAAATGTAACAAGTACAACATATATGGTATCACCTTTTGAGCTTTTCTATTAGACTACTGTTTCTGATACTGTACTTTATTAAACACTTTACTACAAGCTACAGTAGTACAAGGCTGCTTTTGTGCGTTGAAGAGAATGCATCCTTTCTATCCACTGCCCAGTTTTTGAGGATGTCCTGCACCACAGAGCAATAGGAGTTCATCGCGACGTCTGCGGGAAGGGGGATGCCCCGCTCTGAGAATGTCAGATGCAACTGCAGCACTTGATGGCTGAGTTAACTGGACTTACAGGGGTTTAGTAGCCTCCAGCCACATTACAAATGAGTCCCAAATGAAAACTTTTTGTCAGATGTGTCCCACATTTAATTTAAAAAGATCCTAGTCCAAGCCTGCCCAGGTTTTGACTTTTCAAGCTTTGACTGAAGAAATATGTAAAAACAAATCTACAAACGTGCAGGTTTCCCACCACAGAATAGGTGCAACGCATGTAATTTTATCTGCGCTGTGTGCTTCACTTCTGCCTGAAATTGCCCCATTCCAGCCCTAAACCACACCTTGTAGGACTGGTACAAATACATCAACAGAGAATAGTTACAAGCGTAGGAAGAATAAAGGCAGAGCGAGAAGCAAAATACACAGGATAATGTATAAACAATATATAAGATGTGCAAGGAAAACCGTCATATTCTTGAGTAATGATATGACAATGTGGCCTGCCTAAGATATTAAACCACTAGTTATTTCAGAGTCTCTTTTCACCGAGTAGGAAGACTCCATCTTGAATGACTCTGGACGTATCACAGATGCCCTATTTCCAGGCACCACTTCCCCTCACCTGCGCCGTCTTCCCTGGGGCCGAGCGGCCCCGGGGGACATGGGGCGCCCGCCGGGAGGTGTGTGTGTGGGCAGCCGCCCCGCACGGCGGGGGCGAACGAAGGGGTGCGAGAAGCTTGCAGAGGCACAGGAAAGCAATTTCTAGAAGTATTTTACCCTTACATAAAAAAAACGGGCGTTTGGTACCTGTATTCGCCCTAGGGGTTATGAAGCGCCGCATCCATCTACCTGAAAACCGGGAACAGGCATTAATTAAACGCAACGAAATCTAACTTTTCACCCGCGCCGCGGCAGGCTGCCAGGACAAAGAGAACCCCGTTTAATTAGTGCTCAGGCAAAAGCCAGGTTGCCCGCAGCTGCCGACCCGCTGAGGAGACCCAGCCAGCCGCGGGGGCTCTGTCATCAGGCCCCCCAGCCTGCTGGGAGGCCCTGCGGCCATAAGGAGCTGCCTCCCCTCGGGGCAGGGGGAGAACGGCTGCTGCACGTTTTGGTAAATACAAGTGCTAAAGAAGGTGGAGTGGAAGCAAAAGCTAAGGGCCTCTCTGGCCTGGTGCTGAGCAGTGTGCCTTTGGGGAGCTGTGAAGAGCGTCTCCGTGGCCCGTGAGGAGCGGAGACCTGCTCTGGAGCCATGGCCAGCGAGGTTGGGCCTCTTGCAGGCAGCCTTGGTTGCAGTTAATGGCGGCACTGAAATCCTCCCCGGGGGATGATGCTCGTGTGGAACAGACGGCTTAGGTGTCTCTGCTGGGTTATGCTAATGGTTTCGCCGTGTTGAGCGCTGACGTGGTGGGGTCTCCAGAGATGCTGTGGGTCAATCAGGGTCCTGCTGGCGTGAGCCGTGGGACTGAAATCTGCATCTGTGGGGAAGGGCGTGCAGCCGTGGGTCTCTGCCCAACCACGTTCTTCTGTATGGCCTTCTCAGTCAGGAAAAGTAGATGTAAATGGTGTCACTGATCTTCCGTGGCTTGTCCTGAAGGTCCTCCCGCCCATGAGCGCAGCAGCGCTCTTGGGAAGGGTGGAGTGAAACGTGGCTCTGTCAGGAGCTTGGTCAGCCTTGTGCGACTGCCAAGAGGTGCACCTGCTGTGCAAGGAAAGCTGCGCTTCTGACCTGCTCAGCAAAGCACCCTGATCCTGCATGTGCTGGATAGGTGAGGGTATTACAACAGTAGCTCTTGGGTTGAAAAGGATTAAATTTTTCTGCGGGATTATAAAATACACCTGGGCTTGAAGCTAGGGTCTCCTTTGGAAAAGTAGTTTTATTCTGGCTCCAGTAATGTCCTACTGAAATTAACTGACAACAAGAGAAATTATTATCCTATAAGGAATAGATACAAATCCCAATTCAAGAAAGATACAAGATCTAAAACTAATTCACCACTCTCTCCAAGAAAAATCAATGCTTTCTTTTATGCACTCTAAGCTTTCTCTGCTCTTGTTAATTTGTGTGCCACTGCAGACCTCCTCTTTAGGACGAGAGCTAGAGATGATTTGAATGAGCCTGACATGCCTGAGTTCCTGCAAGCTCTAGGGAAACGCCAATTCCTGTCTAGCTTTGAATTTTTACTTCTTGTTTTAGTAAATTAATGTAACTTTCTATATTGCTCCCATCATAACATACTGCAGAAAGTTTTTGCTTTGAGGGAGCAATAAACTGTATAAATGAGCTGCTATATAGGAAACATGTGTCACAGTGGGCATCCGGCAATTCTTTACTGACAAAAGTTTTGTGAAGCTTATTGAATACTTGAGGAAAAATTGTAGGATGCTTAACAAGAACTTGCTAATACATTAACTTCAGGGCAAAGAGTGAATGCAGTCTGCACTCTGCCTTCCTGAGCTTCAGGTAGGGTCCACCTGCAGACGTGAATACTGGCATCTCTTCTCAGAGCAGCGAAGGCTTACCGGTGTGGCTCTTATTAATCTTAATACAGTTTTCTTGACTGCACAACTAGAGCAAATAGTTCTTACAGGTCTCATTTAGGAGGGTGAGCTATACAGTAAAGGTAAAGGACATTATTTGCCCTGAAATTAGTATCTAATAGCTCACGTAACTAGACAAACCATTCTTCACAAAAAACAGACTAGAACCAAGCTGACTTCATTATGAACAGACACATCTGTATTTTTGTATTTATTAAATTAAAACCACACAAAATATATAACTGTACACAAGAACACACATCTGATATTCCAATGTCGTATCTCACAAAGAAAAATCTCTTGCTGTAACTCTTCGCTTTTATTAGCAGAAATCCAATTTGCAAACAGTTGTTTAACCGTAAAGGCTTTAACTCATCAAAACAAGTCGAATTCCCCTTTCTGGGAATATATCATAATCACACATAGACACACACAGAGTTCAGAGGCAAGTTCTGCAGCTCTGAAGTAGACAAAATTTCCACAGCAAACTTGCCTGTGCTTGCAGAATAAGTAAATTTCTATTGTTTTCATAGTTTGTCATTTACAAGCAAACTTATTTAATATTTTTAAATACTTAAAACAAATTTCACTTTAACAAGTATTTACAAAATCTTTACTAAAGATCAACATCCTGCATAAAGGTGACCTCAAGGATATATTGTTGCTACCATGCTACAGTTTGCACAGAAGGGGTATAAAGGCCATTGCTAGTTTTGGAAGGCTTAAACCCTTTGTTGATATAGCATAAGGACATTAACCTATGGAAGGCAGAAGAGGTCATAATTTCAGTGCAATTACCCATTCGTGACTTGTTTTAAGTACATCAAGATGATGAGTCCAAAAGACTTGGGTTTTGAACTATTGACCGTTTAGTTCTTTAAGAACTGATTTCATGGAAATTTTTCAGGCCATCACATCTGTCTTCTACTGGTGATACGAAGAAGTTGCATAGGGACCTTCCTCATTCTCCTCCTCTCTAAAAAAGAAAATGATCATAATCATCAGATCAGGAACATACCATGTCTCAACAGTAACTGTAATGCAAATGCAGATAACAATTTTCCTAATGGATCAAAACAGACAAGACTTGCATTGCCTAACACGAATACTACTTGCAGTATACTACTGTTCATTACACATCTCTGGAGTTGTCGTTCTTTCAAGAACAGAATGCTGAAAAGAAGTAAAGCCGTGTAAGTTCAACATCAGAATGCATTTAGAGTTTAATGAACTCTTCTTGACACTACAGTGCCAGATCAATAAGAAGTACTGCAAAGGATAAACAAGTGGAGGGCATGCTGGAGTTCCAGTACTGTTGCTGTCAATTTTATTTTTTTTTTAAAAAGCAACCTTAGTTGTAGGTTTGTTTCAGCCTTTTGAATGGCAGGGGGTGCAGACAGACCAATTGAGGCAAGAACAGGAGCAGTCCATCATAGCTGTAGCTGCATCTGTCTTGATCCTGCAAGGATATTCCTTGAGTGGGCTCCTTGATATATACTTCCCATGCCTCAACCAATATTGAGACTGATCACTTGGATTTTCTTACAAGAAAATAGTTGCCCACAAGTGCTATTGTTAATGCAATGACTGGATAAACCAAAGTAGTGTTGCTATTAAAAAATCCTCAGAAAAAAATCAGTCTGCCTACTGTTTACTTGACAACATTGCCTTTAAAAAAAAAAAGTGGTTATGTAAACCTATTGCAGTGCAGCATCCAGTACTAATTCAAGCATGCTAAGTTCTCCAAAGAACACTGTTTTCTACTACTGTAGCTTCAAAATTATGTTCCTGAGAGCCTATTCTTAAAGCTGCTGCCAATTTTACTGTTTTGGTGAGAGGAGAAAGACTTAACAGTTGCTACACTGTGAGCTGCAAAGGATTTCCAGTTAGTTTTAATACTGCATGTGCCTCCATACAAAGGTACAGTTATTCAAATAGTCTAATAATGGTCTAAGTTAAAAACCATATATTTCAGTAGTATTCCAAACCCCAATCATGCAGGCTTTTCCCTACTTGCTTCTAAACATGATTATTTATCTACAACTTAAATTTCACATAACCCCCCAAAATAGAATCAGAGGAAAGAAACCTACAAACTAACCAAGCAGCTCAGTAACTTGCACTCACTTTCCCAGCCCTTCTCTGTTCTTGCATAGTCCAGCAAAATTATCTTCTTAAACCAAAGACACAATATTGGGTTTTGCCTCGAAACAATCTTGTAAAAAAAAAAAAAAAAAAAAAAAAACCTCAAAAAAACAGGTTTTGGATGAAACTGGTAGTTATTGCAGGGATGTGTGGCTACAGTAGAACAGAAAACCAACTTTAGCTTTTCTTACAAATACTACATCTATTTACATTAGTGATGCTACAGACCCAGTACCAAGCGTGATTCTTAAGATACAGATGATCTGTGTGTATTTAAGTAGTATCTTTCCTTATATCATCAATTCTGCATTGCAAAACTGCCATGGAATACTATAATTTGCAGAGGCTGTTCATAACACATGGCATGACAGTAAAGTACAGAAGCAAACAACTCATGTTTAGTTGAATAAGCACTAAAGCACTTTTGATCTATAAATTGTCTCAAGACAATACATTTTAAAACTTTTTTTCAGAATTGAAACCTATCAACACACAAAGCTTGTAAGATCGAACTGCAGGACTGTAAAATTCAACCATAACTACTTGGCTGAAGCCAAGTATTTCAAAAAGTATATTCTGAAGCTCTGATATATGCCCTTCTGGGTCAAGAGGTTTCTAGCCACATATGCCCAGAACATAGTTGCAAATAGTGATCTCCTGCCAGTTTGTGAGGATGAAGGAGAAATTCTGTATTTTCGGAGTTTAGACTGTCAAGTAGGGGAGAAGCTTACTTTCAATGCCGTACACTGAATATTACTTCGTATTTCTTAGTTTTGTTTTGTTTCCCCTTTCAGGAGAATAAAATGTGGCAGAGTTACAGCAAAAAGACCTTCCCTCTAATCAGAGGCTGTCAGAATCGGTCTTTCAGTCCTTCTTCTTGAAAGCCTTAATATAGGAATAACACCCATCATGACATGGCAACAGCCAAACACTGGACTCAAATTAGCTGCAGTTGATTATGGTGGATAGTAGGGGTGAATATGGAGAACAGGAGAGTTGAAATAGTGATGTCATATTAGCAGGTCTTCAAACATCAAAGTAACAAAATGGCTAGTCTAAGCTGTTCGTCTCCACTTACTTTGCTTGTGAAATACGCACTTGGACTATGGGCTTTTACTTGGCAATTGTCAGTAGAGGGCAGAAGACTGGCACTTGAGTCACAGCCAGCTTTGAGGGGTTTCTGTATGTGGCAGGGATGTAAGAACCATGTAGTAGGTCATTATGCTTGAACCTAAGCAAAGCAGTGACTGGCTGTAATGTGCAAAATAAATTTCTGACCAAGGCTCAGGCATGCAGTAGTTGGCAGTAAGGGTTGGCAAGAACAGCTTCTAATCTTCTGTCCCGGGCTGCAGTACTAGGCTATGGGATGAGGTCTACGACATATTATTCCAAACCAAGGTAATGGCCAGGAAATATTACTAACATAGATCTTCAGAACTGTACATAGCAAGTACGAGTCTGTTCTGATGGCTTAAAAAGGAGCCAAGCTCTACATGAAATGAAATTACATAGTAGTAGCTCTGGCCCATGGCCCACAAGCAACAACATGGCAGTGTGTGTATGTTTAATGACCAAACAATTTTCTTCACTTTTAAGATGCTTAAAATAGCAAAGTGGTAAGTCACTACAACATTCTCCTTCAGGCAAAGGGAAAAGAACAGCACAGCATTACAGTGCTTCTTAGTGTTGTCTCCTCCTGTTTGCTGTTGCCACTTTGCCCAGCAGGTTACAGGAGCTGAAAGACATCTACTGCAAGCTGTTGTATGCGTCAGGCCACAATAAAAAAATGCTAATAACCACTTCTGTAAGACCAAGTGCACCTGAGTGTGAACAGGTGAACTTGAATCCAATGCTTGGATGCTTCCAGAATCCACAATTAAACAAGGCAGCAATTTGAGTTCCTGAGTTAATAGCTTTTGGAAGTCTGAAAACAAGATTCTTCACAGGCAGCCTCCTTTGTTGAGGTATGTTTTCTTAGCTGATAGCCAATGATGGTGAACAATTATTGGGCAAACTAACTCAATTTGAAGCATTTGAAACTGATAAGAACACCTTACTCTTTCCTAGGTTCAGGTCAAGGCAAGTGAGCAGATGACAATATATGGTTCTGTTCCAGCGCTGCACACCAGATAATTATATTGGCTCGTATAAGCAGTAGTGATTAGAGTGGCTCTATTTGGTTATAAGGTTTTCAAAATGAGTCACTAAAACACAAATGCAGAAGGATGTGACCTGTCCCACAAGCACAGTATACGGCTCTAGTGCTCTAGCCTACCATAGTACCACCCTAAAATATTAAGGACTCTATAAAGACCTTGCATTAGACCTCTGGTGGTGTTCAACTATCCGATATAAAAAGCATCACTGAATTTCAGTTTTGGCATCCTGGAACATGCATAACAATGCTTTGGGCAAGATGAAGCACTACTGCATTTTCTCAAACTATTACAAGTTGCTTTTCTTCCATGTGTGGATAAAACTCATAATGGGTATTCTTTCCTAATATGCAAATATGTGCGTTAGTGACATATGCTACAAACTACTATATCAATACTTTCACACTTCTTTTGGCTTATAAAAATACAGCTCAAAACAAAAACAGGTCTTACTCCCTTAAGCTGCTCACCTAAAGCTGCATCTTGAGTAAATATGCCTGATTGGGGGATTCATTAAGCAATGATTTCTTGCTCAGTGAAACTCTCTAGTAAAAGTAGTATTACATACAGATTTAGCCATATGCTTACATAAACTCTAACAGTGAAAAGCAGCTGGCACAAACTGAGTGGATCACATTCCATAATCTTTAATGCTCATCTACTCGCATGGCTATTAAAGTTTAATATCTAGTCTAGATCTGCACCTATGAGCTCCTCAATTTTTCTACCTAACAGCAAGAGGCTTTTGCTGGGAAGAAAGTGACTTTAGAGATTAATATACTTTATTCCTTTCGGAGCACTTAAAGAGGTGACTTCAAGAGTTATGATTAAACAATGTAATTCACCTTAAGCTGTCTTTGTAGCACCAGGAAGTTTCTGACCACAAAACTGCCTGTAGAGTTTGATCAGAATCAGTGCATGTATGTGCATGCATTCTTGGCAACTTTAAGGGACACCCAACTAAAGAGCAATTTAGGAGATGTGATTCTCTCCATCTGTCAAATCAGGCTCACGGGTATGACGAGAAGTTATGACTCTTGAAGTTCCAGAATTGATAATCTGCTTCTGCTTGAGGTTTTCTTAGAGCCAACATCCCTTTTGGTGGTAGTAGACCTAACTTTAGGTGTTCCTTTCTTACCCTCAAACAGGCACTTAAGTACACTGCAGTGTTGGTGCATGTCCCATTCTAAACAGGGCTTGACAAGGCAATCTGAATACAGAAGGCCAGAGTAGCTGGAAACAGCACTCTTAATTTCATAAATGGCTTTCACTCTAAGAATTGGAAGTTTGTGTATTCATGAGGCTGGTTTATTATCATGATGGCTGTCCAATTTTCAATGCCTCCTGCTCCAAGCAAGGGACAACAAGATATACACAGGAGGGATAACAGGTGCCTCCTGGGGAGCTTCTGGAGCAGAGTAAGGAATGTTGCCACCTTCCAGTGTCAGCCCAGAAAACTGCAGCTGAAAAGTATCTCCAGGGCTTTTGGCAATAGTCTCCCTCTACTCCTGCTCTCCGCATGGAGTAAAGATTCACTTTGGTCCTTTGGCACTCCTGTCAGACTGTAAAGGGGTGAACGCAGTTGGAGAAGATAAAGCAAGTATGGCTTTTTGTGAGCCATGACTGAAAGCTGGGGCAGGATGGGAAGGTGATGTTATGAAGACTTTATCAGACATACAGGAAGCTTTGCTCTTCAGAAGCTTTGGATAACATCCTGCTCAGCAGATAGCCTGCAGCTCTGTACTTCAAGCTTCCTGTAGCATCATGACTAATAAAAATCTGTGCTCTATGCATAATTAACAAAATTACCTGCTAAATCTGAATAGGAAGTGGGAAAGTAACTCATCCTCCTGCATCCACTATTCCTTGGGAGGAAATTTGGTACCAGGCCCTCATTTCACAAGTTGTAACTTAGCAATGTAGGAAATGAACATTAGTGGTGGCAGCGTACTATTTGTGCTGTGTCACTGTATTGGCTCTGTTCATGGTGCAGCAAGGTCTAAGTGAATTTCATTCTGTAAATTAACATGCTATTTTGTTGAAAGGATGTTAAAATAATTGTCCTCCTCTGGCAGGGACTGTGGTTTCCTGTCACCCAGCTTAACTGCTGGGTCAACACCTACTCTAAGCTGTGTTAGATACATAGATCTAATGATCTGTGAGTCAGCAGCGGCACAATTTGATAGATGCTCTACATTGTTTCAAATATAACAATGCAAGTGAATGAGTTTAAACAGAGAAGGATCTGAGTTCCAGCAGCTATTTTTCCTCTTTCATGTAATCAATTCAAAAGAAAATAATTGACAAGCGTGTTAACAAGATGTGAAAGCATTCCAGCCTTCCCTGAGACTGTAACTCTAAACCAGTGTCCTTCTGGCAATGGAGAGTTCCATGTGGAGTGCAATAGGTAATGAATGACCTTAAGCTGTCTTACAGGGTCTCTCTCCAAATGAGGCTTGTCCAACTGCTAAATGCAAGATACTGCTCCCCCTCAAATTTTTGCCTATTAAATAAAGTTTTTAAGTTGCTGAAATAATCCCTTAACTTCTTAAAGAAATGATGGGACTCTATGCTCAATAGATTTGGCCCTGAAAGGTTAGTTTCTTCTTAACATGAAAAGTATGTTGCTTGCATTCAAAATCAGAGTATGTTAAGTGAGCCAGGATGATGGAAGAAGTTTTGCATTAAACAAATTTGCAAAAGCAAAGTACATATCTGCAGGCATAACCTCTCTCCAGCCCTCTGGTGAGAGAAGCAATACCAGTCCCCTGCAGTCATACCTTTTATTGTCATGAGAAAGGCCACCTCAGCATCACCCACTGAGGCAATTTCTGCAGAGAATAAACAGGCCAGACAACCAGCCCGAGAGACTGCTTGTGAACAAGCTGAGGAAGCTTGTCCCAAGGGCATGGGAAAACAAACACTACTGAAGTCCATTCTCACTCTAAGTCTTTCTGTACTCTCCATGGGATGCCTACATATGTGAGGGGATAATCACTGTGGCAGACAGGTCAAAAGGTACTGCTATTTCTATGAGCAGAGTGTGTGAGAGCTCCCGGCTGTAGAAGAAATACTGAAGAAAAGACAGAGGTCTATATAGGTGGATCCACAAAGGGAGGGGCTGCACAGGGAAAGGAGATAGGATAGCTTAACTGAAACTGCAACATGGAGAATATTTACCCAATTATGAGGCAATCTGGGACAGAAGAAAAATGTAATTGTGCCTTGCTGTACACAATCAGCTTCCACATAGGCCTTGGCTTAGTACTCTACTGAAAATTATGGGTTTGCTCAAATAATTGCCCACTTACACAGCAAGACATCTTGGAGAATACTGACCTTCTAGCTTTCATGGAATATTATTGCTATTCTATAAACAGTGTATTGTGAGGCAGCCTTATAAGTGTCATATCAAGGCATCTGCTAATAGTATGCTCTGAATGTATCTGATGCATGATAATAGCAGACTTGCTGTTGACAAATTAAAACTACAGATGCTGTCTGAGATACCCCACAAAGAGGATTCATCTTAGAGTAGAAAGCCTTCAGGATGAGATTAAGATGCTTAATACTAAATGCGGCATTTACCTGACATTGTCATCTTTTAGTTTTCTGGCTGCTTGTTTGGATAACTTAATCTGCAAGTCCAACCTCTGTAGGAAATCTTTGGCAGATAGTTCTTCTGGTGCAGCGGGCTGATTGTCAGGCTCTTGAGGACTGGGAGAAGAACTACTTTCTTCCTGAACTGTCACTAGTCCTTCATCACAAGAAGGGGAGCTGTCAACAGTTTCATTCTCAGGAGACTCCAGTGAATTAAGTCCATTGAACAGTAATGGTTTCTCTGATACAACAGGAATATTCAGGGTTTTCCTCAGAAATATACAGTCATTAGTGAACAGTTTATTTGCCCTCTTTATTTGTTCCATCTGAAAAAGATAGGAAAAATGTAAGTTATTAAGTTTTGGCAAAGTATAAAGTACTAACTTTCTGCAATAGTACAGTAACCTTTAGTTACGTTAAATCTATGCTTTCTCTGTAGCAGCAATGACTTCAGGAAAGGTTGGGTTTTGGTGGTTTTTTTGCAAAGTGATTTCAGAGTGTATGTTCTGTCTTAGCCTTGTTAACTCAACACCCTAGCTTTTTCCTTTTATGTAGACTTGACTCCAAAATATTGGACTTTCTAAAGTCTTGCACTACCTAAAGATGTTTTGTTTTTTTTTTAACAGTCTTCCAATCTCTACACAGGCTCACATTAATAACTTGCCAAAGAATAAAAATTCTGTTGCAGAAATGCTGTTGATTGGTTTTATGTTAGAGTAAGGTTCAGAACTGCTAGCAGCTGCTGTAGGTGAAGTCTCTGGTAAAAAGCATGCATAATACAAACAAGGGGTGATAAAGTTACCTTGAGCATTCTAGGACATGCTCATTATGAACAGTGAGTACCACAAGTCTTGGAATAGCACTATATGCCTCACCCATAGCATTTTCCCCCCTAGCTGATGTAACAAACTCAGACTTCAAATGAAGTCCTGATTTTCATTGAGAAGTCAGGCAGTGAAAAGAATGGGGGACTCTTAAACGCTTTGTAATGCAGCTGCATAGACTAGTGGCTGCATTTGTCCAGTAAACTGAATCTACAGCATGATCAACAGCAACCTCATGTATGTAATAATGCATGGTAACAGCCACCACATAACTGTTGAATACTTTTAATGCAACTTTCACCCAAAGTACTTCTTACAACCTACTTCTCAGTACAGACAATCTTATGACAGAAGCAAGAAGACAACCCCATCTTTCTCAACTTACTAATGCATAAAGCCCTACTTGTTCTGTACTTAACCTAAGGAGCTATTCTAAATTCCATTGCTTTACAGGTGAAGAAAAGCTCCCAGTAAACGTGTATACTATCTCCCTGCTAAGAATGTTAAGTTCTTACTCATCAGAATTTCCCTTCCAAGTCAATAACAGATAAACTAGCTTCCTATTTCTCAATTGCAAGCTTTAAAAACAGCACGGAAATCAGTATCCGTGATTATGTGACTTTAACCTTTAGTTATAACCTGAACTCATGATTTCATTAGGAAGAGTCTTAAGTGAAAGAAAAATGACCATACTGGTCCCCTGGTGACTGCAATAACCAGAAATCCCTAATCACTACAGTACTGCAATGATAAACGCACTCTAAATAAAATCTGCTTGAAAACAAGCATAAAGAGAACTTAAAATACCTCTTGTCTGCATTAGAAGTGTTACTCGTTTTTATTAAACTAAATGGAGCTAAACTGAGTAAGCATAAAGACTGTAAGTCTTGTAATAATAGGAGTCTTACTGCTAGTATAATCGCCCAGAAAAAGCTGAGCACTCTAAGCACTAGCCACTCACTACTTCAAAGTCTGAAGTATCTTCAGCACTCAGATGATGAAAAAATTGCTCTACCACCTTATGCCTGTCAGTCTTAAACTCTTTAAACTTTGCTCTGACACTACTTGGAGTTCTTCCCAATTGCAAAGGAAAGACCATTGTTAACAGATAACTGGGTTAACATGCCTGTGCACTTCTTACACTGAACATACTAGCAGGGGAAGCAGACTAAAACCAAGGGAAAACAGCAGAGATGTTAGTCTGTCTTCTCTGTGCAGGTGTGAGACTGTGTGGCCACTTGTAGAACTGGAATAAACTCCTGCATGCAATGTAGACCTGTACTGTTTGGTAAAAGTATCTGCTGCAGTGCCATTACAGACCTGGTGTCATGTATGGATGCATTTGCTTGGGTCCTGGAAGCCTGATGAAATCTTTCTCTGTAAAAATAAATAGGAGATTGTCTCTAGAAAGGCTAGGTGTCTGGAAGAGTGAGAGTAGTGAAAATGGTGCAGTAAACCTCAGAAGTAAGTTATTTCTAGCCATTAAATACACAAAAGTGGTATTCTCCACTTAAAGACAAGCCCAACCTGTTGCTGCAGATGGCTAAGATGATGGGATTATTAGATTTAATAACCACTTTCAAAAGCTGAATAACTAATATCCAGTGTCAGATAGTGAGCTACTACTTCAAGTAAGAGAAGCTCGTTACTCTTCCAGATCCTGAAGCCTGGAAACTACTTTTAGTTAGCCTTACACAGTATACAGTGTATCTTTAAGTTCTCTCCCAAGCTGAGTAACATCTGAAGGGCATACAGGAAGCTTCACCTGATTTAGTAATGAGACCTGTAATGGCCATGAGATGCTAGTTTAAATGTCAATTGTCAAAATGTCTAAAAGTTGTCTGTCTTGATGGCTACCAAAAAACATTTAAAATGCTAGCTGGAGCCTTTCTCTTAAAATACAGTACAAAAGCTGACAACTGAGATCTCTGCAACAGGGGAGTCAGAAGGTGATGCTTCAATAGCTGATAAATAATGCACTGTACTACTGTTCTCTATGCTACTTCACTGTAACTCTACCTCTGGTTATTTCTTCCTAAAATATCTTTTTAAATACCATCTTGTGGCATTTGGAAGACTGTGCACCTCTGCACTGAGTAACAATCAAATGGGAAATACTTGGTTCGAAAATTAACATCCCTCAGCCTTGAGCAGGTTAATTGATATGTGTAATATATACTGCTCCTTCTACAACTGAGTATGACTCCATACACTCATAGGTGTACGAAGAGCAGGACTTAACACTAGTTTTCTTAGTGCTAGGAAAACTGGACTAATTTCTGTTAGCTACAGACCTATAATAGTGAAAGCATGTGCTTAAGCCTTTGCTTTTAATACTTTAACTGAAGCTGCACCAATGCATAAACTGGTGCTGAACTCATCCATCAAAACTGCTTCTACTGACAATGAAACAAATAGTCCTCTTCCTTCTCCCCTCAAAGGGACACCTTTGTGTGATGGAAAACAGCACTCCAACTGAACCACAAATATGATACTAAACATTAATTCCCAGTGTTAATTTACCCAACAGTGTTCAAAGGAAGATCTAATGAACGCAAGCCATACAAGATTAATAGACAGTTCCTGGGGGAGAGGGGTGAAGGGCAGAGTATGAGGCCAAACAAAGCACACTGATCTCTCTCTCTCTTCCCCCCCCAACATTTTTTTCCATCTTAAACTGCCTAGGCTATGTCATGCCAAGGCAGGCACTGGACAGGATGTCTCTTGCTGCAAAGTAACTCCCAGTGAGGAAAACCACAGGGGTAAACTTCTAAAAACAGTAATACTGGATGCAATGGCAGCCAAAGATAATTCTGACGTTCCCATTACAGCAACTCTCACTTCTAGCCAAGTATACAGGATGCAGGAAGCAAGTGTAAAGACGCTTCTGAGGAAGTCAGTCCTTGTCATTGTGTGAACACACAAGATTCTTCATTTTGCTAAAAGCAAACATGTTTGCACATGTTCCTACCCTAGGCTGGAACCTATTAAAGCAGAAACACCATGGCTGATTTCAGCTAACTTGGCATTGCTCTTTGAGACATTTCAAGTCAGTTTAACCTTTCTCAGCTGAAGTCTATAATGATGCAGCTCTGGTTTCTTAAGCAGAATACTAGCAACATTGAATCAAATAACAAATGAGATGTTTAAAAAACCCCAGCATTTATACTTTAAATGCATCATTAGCACAGCAAAAGCTTATTAAACTCATACTATGAACAAAATTTATGGTTCATAAGTTCAAACTATTTTTTCAGACTGTATAGCTTTGATGCACAACTTCACTTTAGCTGAAAGGGAGTTGTAAAGTGTTTAGAAATGCCTCTTTTCTAGAAAACTACTATATTGGTAATCTGTATATATTTTTCACTTAGTGCAGTGAGCAAATACATTTCTGAATGAAGAGCAACATAGCTAGATCATTCAGGCCAGAGACTTTATCTATTATGGAAAGCACTTAAAAAAAAAAAAAAATTTTTTTCAAACAAATCCAATGAGCAGCTCAGGTCACTTTCCTCTGCCCCCACAGTGAGTAAAACTTTGTTTTAATGTGGACCAATGTAAATCCAAAATGCCATCAATCCCGTTGCCAAAAAGATTTGGTCAAAAGTGTCTTGCTTAATCTTTCTTAAGGGGAGAGAAATAGACTTTTAACCCTTTTCACAACAAAGGCTGAATGCTGCTGAAGTTGCTGGAGGGCTTTAGTAGATCTTTCAGAACCAGAGAAGGAGAGGAAACCCATTCCAGCCAGAAGCTATTAATTTGGGACTGCATTGTACCTCTTCTGGAAGGAGCCCAACTCTGGAAGGTGCTCTTTGCAGCTGATGTGAAAGTGACACTGACTGTGTACTAATACCATGCTGTTAGCTATGCTCATCAGCTGCTTGGCCCCAAGCAATTTTGCATGCTGGGACTACTGAAGCTGCATATAGGTATGTCAGTTGGTAGCTCGCTGGGCCCCAAATAACCTGGAATGAAGGTAGGGCAGGTGAGCTCTGCTCTGTGGGGAATGGTAGCGTGTTAGGGCCTGCTGGTAGACCCTGTTGGACTCTGCATGTCTTAGGCTGGCGTAAGCCCTTCAACATTTTCCAGAGAAGTAAACTTTCTTCTCTACAGGAAGAGAGCAGAAAAGCAGCAACACTTTCAAATCTGTTGTAAATCGCCTCTAGACTGGCAGGTAGATGAGAATGGAAGAATTTTTAGCCCTGAAGCTACGGGAAGAAACGCTTTCTTCTTGTCACAGCCTATGCGTCCACCTCAAAATAATGATTCTTTTCAAGATAAGTTTAATTACATTGGTTTTGTTTAATCTGAAACGAGCGTAGCGGTGAGCTGTCACACGAGCGCAGGTTTACTCGGTGGGAGTAAGTGCATCTCCCTTCCCCGAGGCCGCCGGCCAGTCTCACCGACCGGGCGCCCGTCACTCCCGAGCCTGTGCTGCAAAAGGCCGGAGTGCGAGCTTCGGCCATTTACCCCCCGGGCTGGGCGCTGCCCCCCCCGGGCAGGTCCTACGATTCCGCTGCCAGCACTCTAAATACCAGCACTAAACCCAGCGCCGTCTCCGCGGCAGGAACGGAGTCTTCTGCCCGCGACGGGTAGGAACTGCTCTACGGGCCAACCTCCCGCCGTGATCTCCCGGCTCTCGTCCGCTCCCAGCGCCTCCTCCCCTTTCGCTGCGTTACTCTCCGGACCGGGGAACCGCACGCCGCTGTTGCGGGAGCCAACCGCCGCTACCGGCCCTGCCGCCCCCGCGGCCGAGTCGTCCCCCCCCGGCTCGTCCCGCCGCCCTTCCGCTTCCCCCGGGCCGCCCCGGCGGCGCTCGCCTTACCGTGACGCCGTACTTGAGGGCGATGCCCTGCAGCGTGTCCCCGGCGCTGAGCCGGTGCTCCACGTAGCGCTCGGCCAGCGGCGCCGCCACGCTCGCCGTGCTGCCGTACGAGCGGGCCTTGGTGCGGGCCAGCCGCTGCGACAGCTCGGCCTCCGACTCCGGCCCGCCCGGCGGCTCCTCCCGCAGCGACTCGGCCATGCTCCCGCCGCGCCTCAGCGACCGCGGCTCG